AAATAAAATTAACCATATAATTCTGAAATGGGTAAGAATGATTTTAACCACTAACTAACTACGTAATTCCATTCACTTTTTCACTAGTAGTATGAATTAAAAGTTTTATGTTAAAAATATATTACCTTCAGTAAAAAAAAATTATTAAATTAATTTAACACTAATTATAAATTAGTATTTAATATTTTTTATTACAATAAAATTAAATTAAATTGGATTAGTTCGTTATTAACAAAAATACCCTTTTATAATTTTTAAAATTCTCGCTTACAACCCACCCTCCATCCAATTATAGAGGGCTCAACTCTCCTTACTCTTCAGCCCAAAAAGAAAATAATTAAAGAAGAAGAAGAAGAAGAAGAAAGGGCCTGGCTCTGTTAAGAAAATTTGGGCTAGAAATTTAGCAAAACAAACTCAATTCTACACAAGCAATGATATAAAAACCATGTAAACTTATCCAAATAGAGAAATGAATAAACAACGCACACGATAGTCCTGCTTTCTCACCATGGCAGTCTCTTCACTCTCCCTCACTTGTGTTTCAACATTCATTTCCAACAAGGTATGACTAATTGGGTCTGCTCCATGCTATATCATGTTGATTTGTAATTCTACTTCGCGATTTTCAGGTGAACACGAATGAGTTACCAAGAGCTTATGCAGTTTCTCCTTGTAACCAATTCACATGCACAACAGAGACAACCTTCAATGAAGAAAGTAAGATACCCAATTGGAAATTCCTCTTCGATTTTATTTACACTGCATTTACAAGTCTTTACTAGTGTATTTGAGTGGGAGAAATCACGTTTTGAGAGCTACCCAGATCATACTTCCATGCCATTTTCATTTTAGGATGAAAGATTTAGTTTCTAATGCTTACAATTGGATGCGTCTGTATAATCTAGAATTCTTAGATAATAACCCAAAATCTGTTTCTTCATCCTACATAGCCTCTTCGGTTTTTCCTGTGAGTGATACCAATCCTTAATTGATTGAGATGTGAATTGAATCTTTTACTGACAGTGAAACTGTGTTAAATTTGTATTAGTATTAATGTGGAAAAATCATGTTTTCAGAGTTACCCATACCCATTTTCCTCGTCATTTTCAGGTTTGAGATCTTGAGAGATTTTAGTTTCTAATGCTGACAATTTGATGTGTTTATAATCTAAAATTACTGAGTTTAGGCAATTGTAAGAGAAGGTTATTATTGTTGGGAGTGGGAACCCTCATGGCAATTTCATTACCAGCAAGTTCCCTATTAGCTGAAGGTATAATGTAAATAACTTTGTTTAGCTTATCCTTTCTGTATCTTTACACGATCTTAAATGCTGCTTTTTTTCGTACTCAGCTAATGATTTCTAATTTTACTAATGAAATTCTTGCTTTTCGATTCTTGGTTGTTTTTCCATGCCGAGCAGAGGTGCCACAGAACTACAGAGCTTTCATTGATAATTCAGATGGGTATTCATATTTTTACCCCTCAGATTGGAGGGTGAGTTCATGCTGTTATCTCGTATCAGCAACCTTGAGTTTTGATGTCATATGTGTTTGGTTCAAGTTTATGTTGTTATATGAAATTTGATTGTAATTTATATATTTGATGCATAATTAAACTAATTTGACTCTTCTTTTCTCCCTCTTCTCTAAAAGGAGTTTGATTTCCGGGGGCATGATTCAGCATTTAAAGACAGGTATATGCAATTGCAAAATGTTAGGGTGAGATTTTTACCAACGACTAAACAAGACATCCACGAGTTGGGGCCAATGGAAGAGGTGAAAGATGGAAAGTTTTTTCCTCGTTATCATTCCACAAAAAGGAAGAAATTTGAGCTTCCTGGTTCTCTCTCTTTGTAGGTTGTCTCCAATTTGGTGAGGCATGTATATGCTGCTCCAAATCAAGTAGCTACTATCCTTGATATGCAAGAGGTTTCAGCATCTTCTCCATTTGGTTAAATTTACTTTCAATTCCAATCTTAATCTTCTACTCAATTGGTATTTCGTCTTGATCACTGGATGTAGCGGACAGTAGACGGGAAAAATTACTATACATTCGAGTACGGACTTACATCTCCAAACTTCTCTAGTGTCTCCTTTGCAACAATAGCAATTGGAAATGGTAAGCATCAACAACTCAAACAAGTTTACTCGTCACGGTATTGATTGGAAAGTTTTAACAGTTTTTCCCCTTTTACTGTATAGGGAGATATTATACACTAGTTGTCGCAGCTAATGAAAGACGATGGAAAAGATTTCGGAACCAGTTGAAAGTAGTTGCAGACTCATTCAGAATGCTTGATATCTGAAATAGCACAGCAGTTTACACAAAAGCTTGTGGTGTGCCTGAGGACCAACAATATTTGCATTTCCTGTACATAGGCATAGCAGAAGACAAATTGTTGAATCTGTTGGAACTCCTATATAATATACAAGTTTAACTGCAATATATTTTTTGCCAAATACCACTTCAATTTTGCCTTTGATGAGACCAGTTTAAAAATTACAAACTGGCCGATGATGCAAATTTCCACAAAGAATTTCTCCACTGGCTTCATGTACCACTAATTTGCAATAAATTGAGAATTAATACTTCAAGTATGAGATTCTAGGTTGACAAACGAAAAACTATCCCTGAATATGTTTACTGAAAATTTTCAGAAAATCCTATTTCTTTGTTAGATAGGGTATTGGCTACAGTATTTCACAGTAAACGAATACTCCAATATGGTAAATACTCATGCTATATGCTGCACCTCACCTCTTCAGAAAATTTCAAAAGCAATCACTCTATGGGATTATATTTAAGCATCAAAACTACCTGGTTTTTGGTAAACAGCTTGTAAATTATCCTGAGTACATATTTACAAAAAAGTTACAACAAACAGCCTCCCTTACTTTCCTCTTCTAAACTTTCTTCAGTTGTTTAGTTTCACATTATCAAAAATATACAACAAACATTCATAACTAAGATCGGTGAGAGAGAGATCACATTAAAATACAGGAAAAGGACAGAAAACTGTAGAGAGAGGGGAAAACAAAAAAGCACACCTTAGTTGAACAAGAATTATCATCACCCTGTTACTGCTTAAACAAATCAATATACCATTGGAGACAGCACAACCCAATCTAATGATGCTTGCCCCCAAAAAGAATATGCGTCTAACCAACAACGGCCAACTAGACCCCAAAATCCCTTCTTCTAAGACCTACGACTAACAATGCATCTCCTCTTGCTGCTTTCTGCATCTCCATCCAACCAGTATCGATATTCTTACATGTCTCATCTCAATTTCATTACCCCTTGCAGGTTCTGGAAGCTAGAAACTTGATCAATATATACTCTAGATGACACATCTGGTGTCAAATGTCAACATTTCCAGAACTTCAGAAAGAGTATATGGGTACTATACAAGGAACCAAATGTAAGTTCCAAGCAACTACAAGGCCAACCTACACCAACCGATGCTGACGCAAACCCTTTCCAAAATGGGGCTGCATCAAACGGACATACAAGCCGTTCTTTGCCACTAAAGAATCATGAGTCCCTTCCTCCACAATTCGACCTCCATTGAGCACTACAATGTTGTCAACATGCCTCATCATTGCTGCTCTATGGGCTATCAGAATGGTTGTTTTATTCCCCATTATCAAAGTATCAAGAGCCTCCTGCACCACCCGGCTTGACTCAGATTCAATTGATGAGCTGGCTTCGTCCAGTAACAGGATGGGAGCATTTTTCAACACCACCCTAGCAATAGCAATCCTCTGCTTCTGTCCTGGGGTTAGATCCACACCTCTCATACCAACATGAGTATCATAACCATGAGGCAGGCTGCTTATGAAATGGTGTGCATTTGCTATTCTAGCAGCCTCTTTCATCTCAGCTTCACTAGCATTATGCCTAGCATATATAATATTTTCCCTGATGGTCGTAGAGAACATAATTGGCTCCTGCTGAACAAGACCCAAGTGATTCCTCAACCATCTCAGGTTATATAGTTTTAAATCTCGTCCATCCAGTAGAACCTGACCAGCAACTGGATCATAAAATCTCTCAATCAAAGATATAATGGTACTCTTCCCAGACCCAGAAACTCCCACCACAGCTACTGTTTGTCCCCCATTAACTTTGAGACTGAAATTACTCAATACCAACACCTCCAGACGAGTTGGGTAACAGAAGTCAACATTTTTCAACTCAATGCTTCCATAAACATTAGGGGGCTTCAATGCTGAGTTATCATCAGGTTCAATCCTAGGCACTCGATCTATGATTTCAAAGACTGAAGTAAGGGACTTGCGTCGTTTTAGTATATATGGGGCTAAACCAAAAGGCTCCACCAGTGCAAATGTTGCAAAAGAAAAAACCATATACTCCTTGAGAGCTGTAGGAAGATTTGTGTGGCCATTTTTAACAGAAATTGCTGTATACCAAAGGAGTAGAGCATTGCAGGCAAAAAGAAGAAACTGAGAAAAGCCAAATGCAAACCCAATCGCCATTCCATGTAAAAAGCTCTGCCTGAATATTATCTTTAACTGCAATCTGTAGAGCTCCATTACCTTGTTGCCAGCACAGAATGCAACTACTGTGTAAATGTTTCTAACTGCATCCTCAAGGACCAACGAGGCTTTCTTTTGTGAAAGAATGGATACCCCTTGAAAATCCAGCAAGCCAGAATTTCTGCAACATTAATTATATCGAATGT